CCTGGAAAATCCTACTAGAAAATAGTGTTTGCTGCATGGAACCCTGAGAATCAGCTACCCAAGCAGTGCTCCAGTTATTCTGAACATTTTCCACAACCCAGTGTACTGAAAAGCACAAACATTACAGGCAAAGCACCCTGCTTACAAATGATGCTTAATTTGCAGTAAATAACCAAGTTAATTAGGAGTAATGATCCCCTAGACAGTCTCCACATCTAATTATTCTTTAAAAAAAAATCTGGCTGCTTGATGCACTGCAGAAAAAAGATCTAGAGAGGATTTTTTCATTCCAGTTTTCAATTTATCTCACTACATTATTAATTAATAATAATTAATATTCAGGCACTCACATTTTTATTTACAATTCAAGGCATGAATTCTTTATGAATGATGATATGAACTTTTAAATTTAATTAAGTAATTTAGAGGTAATTAATGTGGAAATTCAGAATATAAACTTCCTACTTGTTTATCTTAAAAGTGCAGCACTTGTTATTAAAAAAAAAGACCTTTTTGAGATGCAAAATTACTGGGATATAAGAGATCATCTGCAGACTGACAGCTACAAAGTACATCAATTGGTCTTTCTGGCAGTTTCCTTATTCTCTTCTAGAAGGATCAACATTAAAAGTCAGATTGCATTACAGCCAAGCAAAGGCAAACAAGAACTGATGAACAGGAAAGCTCCCAGCACAAACAGCTTTTAAACAATGAAATGTTCCCAGCTTTGAACTACTCCTCCCTGTTGTTCTCAGATTTTGGAAGGTATTGGCCCTTTGGGAGATGAATTGAGCCACAGGGCTCCCCTTTAGAAGAGACACTCACAGAAATGATGGTGACATTTGCTCTGCTGACTCAGCTCTTCCTTGGCAGGGCTGGGAGCTGAGAATTTCCAGTTATCTGCACTTACTCCAGTAAAATAATCACCAGGAACAGCCCAAATACTGCTCTGTTGAAGTGAGGGAGCGACCACTTTTGTTGATTTAGCATCTGACTCCACTTTATTCATCAATCAGGCACTTTTTATAGCAGTGTTAATTCACTTCATGCATATTGCAAAATCTGAGCTCCCAACAGGCTGTAGAGAAAACTTCAGCTCCTCCTTTTGTTTACAATACCTGAAGTTAGTTTACTGAAACCAAGATCAGTGTTCCCACCATAATATGAAAGGTTCTCAAAACCTTCATATCTATTCCCAGACTGGCCATCTGTTCCCAGTAGCAGCCAAGGACAGAACGGCCTGAGAATCTTGTTGTTTATGTAAAAGGTGGCTGAGAACCTTAATTATTTACAGGATCAAGCCTGGGAAAGGCTGCTTTGCAGCAGGCTTCTATATTTCCCTCAGCTGAACACCTTCATGGCCTCTTTCTTTAAGCCATGCTTAAACCAGGCTCTCCACACTGCTCTAGAGAGAGCACAGCTCCGCTGGGAGCATCTGAGCTGCCTAATCCTACAAAGTGACTCCAAGAGCCAGGAACCAGCCCTCAAACAGGACCTGCTCCGCTTCCCACAAAGCACAAATTTACCCTGTGAGAGAACATCCACCGAGGGCTGGTCTGCGTTGATGGATTTCAGAACCTTCTGGTAGATGTGGAAAATCTCGGGGAAGTTTCTGTGGTATTCCAGCAGCTTCTTGGACACCTCCTGCTCAGACAGATCTTCTGGTTTCACCAACCTCTCCTGCACCAGGGGGTCACTTGGCCAGTCAAAGGTTGTGTGGAAAACCTCTGCAGGGAACATGGTTAGGAGCTAAGAGCATGAATTAACAGGCCTCTAATTAAGAATGTCCCTCCTAATTCCACTCCTCAGAACTAGTAGCATGAATTAACAGGCCTCTAATTAAGAATGT